CCGAAGCAGCTGCGCTAGCTTGGTAGTGCCGTGCTTTATCTGTGAGCACTAGGAAGGGTCCTTAAATTACTTTCTACTTATAGCCCTCCAGACACTGTTGAACAACTTCTTTTCATAGTGAAGGTACAATCAAAAGTAGTAAACATGGCTCTACATTCTGATCCCTTCCTAAGCCATCCTGTCCCATCTGTCTTCACTCTTTTTTTTTTTTTAAGATTTATTTTATTTGTACATACAGAACTGGGGTACAGGCCAGAGGCTCAGGGGTGGTGAGAGGCTTCACCAGAGACAGAGTGGGGAGCAGAACAGGCAGATCGACGAAGTACACTGCTGAGGGGAGCAGCAGGTGGGCCAGGAGAGGTCTGTCACGCCATGTGGTCACCTCCGGGGCAGGCGGGAATCGAACTCATGTGGAAGTGGCTTTAGCTTCTCAGTGCAGTGCTTTAACCCGCTGTGCCACCAGGGAGGGCCCTGTCTTCACTCTTCTTGACCATTCTGTAATTCATATCTCTGGGTCCTCAAAAATAGCCTCAGTTCCAATTATTCCTGGGGAATCCTTTCCCTCTGTCTATAATAGTCTTTTTACGTCTTCTCTTTGTGTCTTTATCCTGCACAGACGTTCATTTCTTCACTGCAATCCAAAACCTGGTAAAATCCCTTTGTTAAATGGAAACACAGTACTTACCTAATTAATTAAGGTATATCTTTCTCCAGTAGAATGCAGTCTCAACTCATTCAGTGATTAATACATCAGTCACTGAGATCTATATATTGCCTCACATTCAGTAGTCATTCAATGATTATTTGTTGAGTTTTCTGTCATGAAAAGTATGTTCTGGAGCAACATTATACATGGATTCAGGCAGTATAACTGACTATAAGTATATAACCTCATGTACAAGAAATAAGATTGGATTCAATAGCGTGTAAATGCAGTGTGTCAGGCACAAATTTCACATGATCTAGCACAAAATAGTGAACACCACAGTTTAAGAAATGTTTATAAAAATTTTCTATAATACCATTGCTGATACAAGCATTAGACCATCAATTTATTTTTGTCCTTTTTCTCTAATGATTTTTTATCCCTTCTAAATATATTTTCAGGTGACAGCAGAAGTATCTAGGTTAACTTCTGGGCTGATACAGATGGGCCAGGTAAAATGCTCCAGAGGCAAATGCCCATATGTTTCTCAGCCTTGTGCAAGGCTTATCATCTGGTAAAAATCTCCCAACAATTTTATCCCCTGGCAGTTTTCCTTTTCTGACAAAAGTCTCAAAATATGAAACTGTAAATTAGGGACAAATGGAATTCCTCCAAAAACGAAGCCACTTATGTGATGCAAGATCTAAATCCTTTGGACAGGCAAGGATCTTATGGAGAAACTTGTATATTTCTATATGGTGCATCTTTTATACAGTATCAAATATAAGGAAAATATTTAATCAAAGCAAAATTATTATAAGCTTTGTGGTTGCTCTCCCGCCCCAAGATTTCCATGTCCTAATCTTTAGAACCTATGATTGTTCTATATGGCAAAAGAAACACTATAGTGGTGCTCATGTTAAGGGTTTTGAGTTTAGGTGGGATTACCCAGATGGCTCAGATAGAATTGCTACAGGGTAGCCCAGAGTGGACTGGGCCGCCTGTCTGTGGGGCTTCACTTGCTTGCTCACAATTCGGTTACACTGCAGGTACACACAAAAGGGTCAATAACGGGTTTATTTACAAAAGGGGAAGGAAATAGGAAACAACCCAGGGAAAGAGAGCAGGATACAAAGTAAGTGGAATACCTTACGGATAGGCTGACTGAACATACCAAGTCACGGGGTCCGGAGAGCTGCTTCCCAAGCGAGAGAGAATGAGATGCAATCCCGCCCTATTTATCCCCCAAATGTCCCAGAATTCTAGCAGAATTCATTCCTGCTAGCTCCGCCCCTGGGCACTTGCAGTTCTCTCCCTGGTACTGCTGGGAGTTGTAGTTTCCAATCACGGGAGTAGTGTGTAGGGTCCAGAAAGCTGAAGTAGGGGGTGGAGTCCATAAGACTCTGCAGAGTTCCTTTAGGACATCCTTCCCATTAACAAAATCACAGTGATCTTTCTAAGAAGGAGAAGGAGAAAAGATAAAAGATGATGTAGTGACTAAAGCTAAAGTTGGAGTGATGCACTTTGAAAATGGATTTTTTTTTAAAAAGATTTATTTATTATGCATACAGAACTGGGGTACAGGCCAGATGTGCAAGGGCAGTGAGAGGATTCACCAGAGACAGAGTGGGGTACAGAACAGGATGATTCACGGATTACACTGCTGAGGGGAGCAGTGGGCATGACAGGAGAGGTCTGCCGCTCCATGTGGGTCACCTCCAAGGTGGGGATGGAACTCATGAAGTGGCTGCTGCTAGCTGCATAGTGCTGTGCTTTAACCCGTTGACCAGGAGGGAGGGCCCCAAAGATTTAAAATTTTTAATTAGAACTTTTAAAATCGTTGATATTAAAATATCACTCCAGTGCTTTCTAGGTGGTGACAATAATGTAGAGATTCTGAACAATTGTTAATGCAATTTTAGTTTATTATTTTTAGTGGTGTGTCATATTCTAATACTACCAATATGCCTTGAAATAAGATAAAGTGTATTAAATACTCCAGGTTATAATCTTTGGTATCTTTGAAAAACACCAAGATATGAATTATAAATCTTAAAAGTTTCCTTTTAAAACATTATGGATTTGTTGAAAATTTTTACACTTGAACATATTGTTTAAAGTATAATCGTTCTTCCCATGTGACGGCCTCACACAAAGTATTTAAAGAAGATGAAGGTCTGTCATTGCTGTTTAATTAACAGAGACTTTTTAGAATTAGAGGATGTTAAAAAAAGAACTCAAAGGAAAACTTCAGCATGATAATAGTTTCATTTCACATCAGAATTTTAACTCGTAAAAATTCTATTTACAGGTGTCATCTGCTAGAACTCGTCAATCTTAATTTTATATTGTGAGTTTTTCTTTTCCCAATTACTTAAACAAATCAGATGGTAGAATACAAAAGCAAGCTGAGAGGCTTAGATCTGCTTCTAATTTAGCAATGCTGTAACAATTTCTTTTTCTATCATCTATGACTTCAGATCTGTTACTTTGTCTTGAATCTAAAACGTTTAAAATCATCTTACCTTTTAGTTCATAAAAGGCAAAAATAGTTTACATTCCAGCAGATTAACTCAGTGTTTCTAATCAAAGTGAAATCTACTTAAATGTTCATTTTGAAAAATTTTTAATTCACTTTGGATCATCCATTGACATTTACACTTGCATAAATACAGTTCATCGAGGTTCCAAATAGTAAACTTTACAGTAATTAGGAGGTAATGGTAAGGACCCTTTTTTGAATTCTTATTTTTACAGTGTCTTCTATAATAAAACAAATTGTAAAGGGCTACCAAATCTAACATACTACATATTCTAAGCTGCATTCAAGTTATTCAATAAAATGTTTCCTATTAAATACTTGGTATAAGAAACAGGCCTAGTTATTGTCAATTAAGATTCCGCTCCCGCCCCCAATTATGATTAAGAAAGAAGAGTTTAAGAATTTAACTCAGTATACAAAGTACCTCAAACATAAGATGGGCAGCATAAATTCCATAATAATTTTTATATATCTTTTATAGACTTTTGAGATAATTGTTAAGACTGTAAAGTCACAGTGAAATACATGGGTATATTTCCCAATATTTTACTCATCTGTTGAGAGGTTTCATCAGATAAAATCTGCCTCTTTGATAAGTTCTAATTATAAGAAATTACTGAGAAACTATCTCTATGGTGTCTATCAAATTGTATACTATATTTCCCTGTTTTTTTTGTAATTAAATGGCAGTTTATAGAACTAATATTGCCACTGTCTACAAATAAAGCCAGTCATTAGAAATATGAGGTACTTAAATTCAAAAACATCCAATATGACTATATTACAGAAATGTTGCCTGGGATGGCAAGAATAATAGATATCTCTACTACATCTCCCCAGTCTGTGATTGAGAAAGTGATATGTTCAGTTTTGGCAAGTTAGTTGTGGTGGGTCTGTGGGCTAGGGTCTCAATCAACTGGTTCCTAAAGTAAATTTATAGTTCTTTGCACTGAATTAATATCTGTGTGTGTGTCTGTCTGTCGGTCTCTCTTTGTCTTTGTCTCTCTCTCAAGCCCACACACCCCATCTACTTTACCTTAATATAGTTCTTGCAAAGCATTCTGAACAAGCACATTTTAAGATAAATTTGCATATTATACTGTGTACTCTCTTATCAGCATTTTCTTTTGGCAGACAAGCACAAAAATAAAGCACATTTTAAAAAACAGCACAGGGCTGCTACATTATGAGTTAAACTTTCTTTTATCAAATTGACTGAATTAGATCCTAGTAAGTACAGAAATAAACCAAAATTAAAGTGTTCTCAGAAATAGGCCATAGAAATTCATAAGCAAAAATTTTATCTAACTCCAAGAGAACCCACAGCTGCATTTCCTTCATTACCTGCAAATGCACAACCCTCTCTAGCTTCACCTGCAGTTTTCTTTCTTACACGTAGAACAGATGCACCAGAATTCTTCAGATTCTAGATTATATATTTCCTTTCATGTTAAAATAAGAATGTATCTTCTCCTCTGTGCACACCTACATATACTGATTTTCTTTATTTGTACAATGAAGCACAAATAAACTACTAAAATTATGTGATGCTGTACAAATCCTAGTATGAGTTAATCAAAAGGCTTTGTAATAGAGGTTATGTTTTATAACATTGTGTGATTGAATTATATTCCCCTTCTTAAAATTAAAAAGATAATATATATATGTATGTATAAAAAGATAATATATATATGTATGTATATATATATATAAGCTTCTAAATTAAAAAAACACTTCAGACATCTTGTTGGTCAAAGTACAGATTGTTTTAATTTTAAAAATAAACTAATAAATTGCTTCTGAGAAATATACAATAGTTAATGGTATTAGATTATAAAGTTAAATTCACAGAATCCCAGATTTTATATACAGTAGGATTTATTAGGAAAATGAATACTGGATAATTTATGATTATAAATGGTTTGAATAAAATTTAAAGGAAATATAAACAATATATTTCTTTCTCTATAATTAGAAATATAGGAGATTTAAACCTTATATATTTTTTTGTCAAAATAGTAATTATCCGTAGATGACAGATGCTGCTTCCTAGTTAATGAAGGGTCTCAAATTTTACTCTGCATCTCATTGGGAAGGAAATATAAATTTTTAAAATAGAATTAACTTGGGGAAAGGCATCAGTGCTGCAACTCTTAGCACCAAATGTTTTTTCTTGGAGCACCAAATGCTTTAAGGAAAACATTCCAAGTATCAAAGTTTTCAGATAGATAAATATTTATGGATCAAATCCATAAAGAACAGACATTGTTATGAAATATATATAGATGCCTTCAAAACTTTCTTTCTAAGCAGAGTAGACACATAAGTTAGGAGTCATTTCCCACTTAATTGTTTTTGCAACCTTATGCAACACAAATGGATTATGTGTTGCAATAGACTTATTATATACAGAAAGTAGATCTTGACTGACATGTCCAGAAAATTAAACAAGATCTATTTCTCTATATAAATTAAAATGGCATCAAATTTACAGAAGTGTCTTTATTCTAGCCTTTTCTCTTTCTGCTTGAAAGATGTAGAGCATTTTAATTTAGTTCTTTTGTGAGAAAACAATAGTCATTAAGAACAATCATTCTCGTTTTATTCTCAAAATTTAATAAAATCAGAAACAGGTCTGGTTCATATCTTTAAGTGCAATGAAGTTCCATGTCTTTAAACTGTATGGATGACACAATTTAGGCTACATATAGACTACTTCCCCCTCTTCAGTGAGAATTCTTGATAGTGGTTTTAAAACAGGGGACCATTTCCATATAATCCAGAGAAAGTTATTTTAGTATGTAAGGGCAAAGGTCTACACTGCTCACATGACAAAAATATAAATGCCATACAAATGCCATGTGATAATAGCAAATTCAGGGTAGTTTTAAAAACCCCATTTAGCAATATGCACTAATCAGAAATGAATTACCAACTTAAGAAAACAGCAATAAAACCTATCCTAGATGCAAATGTAGAACAAGGTCTACAAAGCACATTGAGTATATATCAAGTTTCCACATCACACTTGCACACTCGTGGATCATTATTACCAAGACCATTATTTGTGAACATAACAGATTTGTGGAAGTAAATATAATTCTATTGTTGTGAGTAACCAGGACAATTATACATTCAACCAAACAAGTCTTCAGTTTATGTGGGAATAAAGAAAATGGTAGCAAAGATACAGGTAAAATTTTATTTATGAATATGCAGACACATGACTTTGGATCCAGCCAGCCAGTGACATAAATAAACTTTAGCAAAAGATCTGAGCTAGAGGAGAGAGAGAGTGTGTGTGTGTTTGTGTGTGTGTGCACACGCACACACGTGGTGCGCATGTGTGTATGTGTTTGTAAGCCTTCTCAGAGCAGTGCCACATATCTGGACACCAACCAACAGAATCACTCCCATGCTTTGAAATTTCCATTAAGAGCACAATGGGAGTAATTTATACTGGGATGCTCCAAATCGTTCTTTCCATCTTGTGCACTCAGATGCCCACCAAACGTGAATTGTTCGCCTTCTCCCTTCCAATGTGATGGTTGTTGAACTTATTTTTAGTGTCATTTGATAAGCCTTTGTGCTCGCAGAGAGACATCGCACTGACCCAGCCACTGGTCATTGTCTATACCAGTTCACATCAAAGCAGGCGCGCTTTGTCAGGTTTCGAGACGAATATCCATTTCGCATCTGAAGTACAGTATCGAAAGTGACTAGATCATTTGAGCCTTTTCTTCAGCTGCTGCCTTCTTCCTCCCCCCAGTGTTTCTGCTCACGCTAACATAATTTGGTATTGTCGACGTGACACAGTGGTTTTTCTAAAAAAGAATGCCAATACATACAATTTCGATGTTTTGTGGTGGCCAACTCTCCTGAAAATTTAATTTATAAATCGATGAGAGGAAGTCTTTCTTTTCTCTCTACCTAATCTTAACCAAGGTGGAGGTAGAGCACCCCTCAAAATCCAAGAATTGCACATACAGTGATAGGTCATTCAATGTCAAAAGGCATAAAAAAGATGAGCAAAATCTTCACAGGCTGCTGCTTGCTGTTGCCTTTAATTATATTAATTAAACTTTGAAATTTTCATGCAAAGAGAGTTGCTGGCTTGTGACGCTGAAGAGCCCTTGGAGACTTGGAGCAAGAAAAAACCCTGAGCGGAAGCTTTGTAGTTACTGCTTCCTTTAAATTAAAAGCCAAACAAACTCCTAGGTATGTTTATAGATATTAATGCTTTATGCACTACTAAATCATAAACATAGAAAGAAGGGTAAATCTACCAATTACGGGGTAAGTTCTCAAATCATGAGTCCCATTAGCTCCACTCAAGATCTCTGGTTAGAGGCTATCTTCCAGTAGAATAACGCTCTATTAATTTTCTTCTTTTCCCGAGTGCATAATGAAAGAAAGGTGTCTTCAAAAACTAAAGGGCAAAATCGTGCTTGCTACCAATTCCTTGAGGCATCGTGCCTACATTTTGTCATGCGCGTGCACTTTTTAGTGTTACAATGACAAAATTTTCTAGTCAGAAACTTCCCATAAGGCAAACTGTGAAGGATTTTGTGATTTGACATAGTTATAAGGCAGTGGACTCCTTTATCTGATGCTTAGCCTGGCGGGAAAGCTCATGCTCAGCCTGTGGCTAACAATCTTGCCATGTGAAAACACAAGTGCCACGTTCCCATGGTAAACACTCCCTTCTCCAGGACCAATCAATTGTGGCTAGTTGCTTTTTGAGGTCCATTTTGCATCTCCATGCTGTCCATCTTCAATGCTTTTGTCCTTCTACACATTCAGACTAACTTTCTGTATAAACTGTAGCATGTGGATTAACCTTCTTTTTTTCCAGTGTTATGAATCATGATATCTCATGATTCATACTACCAGGTTTCATAAACTCCCATGTAGATGGCAGAACAAGTGTTTGAAAATGTTTGGTGTAAGCAAAGCAGAAGGCACAGAAAACATTTCCTGACTGGAAGGAGGAAAGCTGCTCTTCCCAAAACTTCTGAAATACACTTGTTTTTGTTGTTGTTATTGGGTTAGAAATTAGCACTGTATAGATGGACAATCTTCATACTTTCCCAATATTTTAGCTTTCCTTTTACTGAGATGGAACTCGGGAGAAGTTTATGCATCGACCCTAGAAAAGAAATAAGTTTGTATTTAAATATTAAAATAATTATTAAAAAGCATCAGAACTTTTTATTTTCCTATCATGATCTAGTAAGTGAATGCCCAGGGAAAGTTCAGTGTTAAGATGAAACATGAAATAATAAGATATTTTTGCCCATGGGTCAAAACAAAATGGTAAAGACTGGATGAAGCTGACCCACAAAATGAAAATTTTGGGTGATAAAAAACATATGAAAGAGAGAAAATAGTATTTCTATTTAAAATACAGCATTATTATTCTACCAATAAGATATCAGAGATGCACTACACATTTCTTTCTATAAAAAATTAAAGTGAAAGTATTCCTTGATATAATCTGCTGCTTCTAAAAGTGTTATAAAACTAATGCTTTGGGCCCTCCCTGGTGGCGCAGCGGGTTAAAGTACAGCACTAAGAAACTAAAGCCACTTCCGCATGAGTTCTATCCCCGCCTGCCCCGGAGGTGACCACATGGTGCAGCAGACCTCTCCTGACCCACCCGCTGCTCCCCTCAGCAGTGTACTTCGTCTATCTGCCTGTTCTGCTCCCCGCTCTGTCTCTGGTGAATCCTCTCACCCTCCACATCTCTGGCCTGTACCCCAGTTCTGTATGAATAAATAAATAAATCTTAAAAAAAATTATAATAAAAAACAAACAAAAAAAAACTGATGCTTCAAAAAATGTGCATTTGAGGAAGGCATTTAAGCATTAGAAAGAAACTGAAGACAAAGAGTCAGGAAGGTAGAGGATAGATGCCCTCCTCTTGTGATTCTATTTTACAAAATGCTTTGGAAGAGATGTATGAACCGTCTTATTTACTACTGCTGACTGTCTCATAACTGCAGGCCACCATGTCTTCTCTCCACACAGTCACTATATATTTGCACTGGATATTTCTGATCAGACTTTGCCTTTCCAATTCCTTAGCAGTTCGATGAAGGTGGGAGTCAACTTGTTTCATATACCATTGTCAATAATCTAAGAATTATTTGAAAATAAAGTTTCCAGTTAGTGGTACAGAATCCCCCCTCTCCTTGGTTGGCACTTCTACACAAATCAGGTCCAGGTTCCTCCATAGGACAGAAGCTAGAGGACTATTTTCCTGTATGGTCAGGATAAACACCCTACTGAGATTTTTCTATTTCTTGTAATCTATGCTTTCTGACTTCGTATTTTCAAATGTACTATTTAACTCTAAATGTGAACACTTATAAGTTTGTCTTAAATATCCAATATGTGATAATATTGAAAAGGACCAACACACACTGTTTGATTAATAGGCTAATGAGGATTGTATATACAAGCATGTTGAAACTTTGTACTTTTTTCTATACCCTAAAAGTTTTCTTAAGAGAACAAATTTAAAAGTTCTAAATATTGAAAATTTCACTTCATTTTCTTTGACTGCTAGGCAGAAAAAAGCATATATCATTCTAAGTAAAGTATAAATGCATTAACATCCCAATTCATCTCTCGGAGCAGTATTTTGAGAGAAAGCTTTAATATTTCACCCACTCTCCCTTGGTATTAGAAAAAGCAGAATGTACCAAAGATAACCAACAATAAAATTTTGGCATAACAAAGGCTCAATTCACAATTGGAATCTGTCAACTATAACTTGACTTAAGTGATTTTTAGGCAATAACATGTATTAATTGAGTAAAAAGTTCACTAGGATTTTTCTTGCTAACACCTTTGTTCAGGGCCCATAATAAGCTGATAACCAAAATTAAAATGTCCAGTACCATGTTAATTCTCTTCAGTTAAGTAAGCCAAGAGACGAAAAAAAACAAAACAGTAGTTTCTGCTGGTTAAATATGTAGACCTCGGACTCTGTTACAATGTCTGAAAACTGATTTTACTATTTATTTTCACTACAACGAGGGAAACATTAAGCAGAGCAAGTGTCATGAGTACCATCTCTTGAGCATTAAAATTCTGCTGGCATTAACATTTGTGGCTCCTTTACTAGCTATCTCCACAGGCTATACTTCACTGCTGTAACTGTTAGTGTATTATGCTCACCTCATAAATATCCATTGACAAGCTGAAGCATACAACTGTACTTTAGTTTAGACTTTTCAAACACAGATAGCTGATTTATTTATAACTCCTCTTCTAAAAAGAATTTACAAACCTTCATGCTTTGTGCAATGGTAAACCGTGATTCAAATTTTAAATCGTATACAAAGCGCAGGTACACACAGAAATAGACACAAGACAATTGGAGAGTTCCTGAAAATCATGAATTATCAGGAAAGAATGCTGACTTTAGACACAATAGGCTGTCTAGAAGAACAAACAGAAGAGAAGATACATACTATTCTTTACACACACAAGAGAAGGAGATAAAAGCAGGGAAAGAGGAAAGATATGTATATATTCTTGGAGTGAGAGATATAGATGTATATAATATATAGAAGTTTAAATCACTATTCTTTATATATTGCTATCCATGTAGATATAGAGATATATGAGATTCTATGCTATCCTCTATTCAAAATAAAATTGCACGCTTTTGAGCTGAAATATACAATTTATATATTCTTTTCTAGTGGAATATGATTTTACAAATGTCCAATTTTTTGAGTAGAGACCAAATACCATATGGATATTCAGTGGATATCATAAGGTATGTTCTGAGTTTGCCTGAAAAATTTACCTTCACTATTTTTCTCCCTCTCTATTCTATTAAGGTATCTGCAAAGTTCTAGTGACTCTTTAGTTAGTATTTATTTTTGCAAACATCCATAATTCAATTTTTCTTGAGATTTCATTTAGTTGTCAGTTAGTGAAATGTTTCATTAAAGTAAAATATGAAATAAGCACCTTGTTGCTTGCAAGAAATTATTTCTAGCAATACCCTTTCTTGGGTCTCATCATAATAATGATAAGTAATAGTGGGAAGTATATGCTCAAAAGACACATACACACACACACACACATATATATATATAAAATCAGAGCAAGAATAACAGAATACTGGATGTATTTTTAATTGTTTTTTTTTCCACTGGACACAAAATAGGTAATGTAGTAATTATTTACACTTTTAACTTCAATTAGAATATTGATTAATCTGAGGTCTAAACCAATAGTAAAATATTGGCCATTTAAATATGAAACCCAAAGCATAGAAAATAAATTTTGCAAATGCACATTGTAGGACTGCTTATATTAAAAACTGGAAACAAGTCAGAACCATCATTACAGGCAAAATGATTAAATTATAAATTAATGATAGGTGATGGAATATGATAAACCAGATGCAATGTCAGAAAGAAAGGAGGACCTATACACACCATCATAGAATGATGATCAGGATTTATTAAGGGAAATTAGCAAGGTGCATAGAGAATGCACACTGTACTATATTTTATATTACATAGAAGAAAAATACACTGGGGTTAACATATACCTTTATTTTTAAGAAAAATAAAAATATGTTTTGAAATAGAATTGGTTATAGATAGTGAGAAGGAGTGTGCATAGTAGAGTGGATGAGAACATAAAAGATATTTTTGATATATATTTTTATCACACAACATAAAGCACAGTCATGTAAATACTTAATACTTTCCCAAAATGTCACATGATAAAAAGAAATCACTACAAACAAAAACAAACTTCACCAACTTCAGAGTAGAACCCTGTCTAAAGCTCAGACATGGCAGACAATGTGGGTGAGAAAACCACATTACATAAGGTTTTCATTGAGAGCAAGGAATTAGTCAATGGAAGGCTGGGAGAAAGGCAGGAGGGTAGAAAAATGTTTTCACCTCAAAAGTCATGATGAAATTTCCCTAAGAAAATGGAAGCAGCCCACTAAGTATTTGGGGAATTGCTAGAGGAATGAGAAAAATAGTCCTGGTGGACACAGGGCTTTCCTGAACCATAAGATAGCAACCTGTTGAAATCTGGAAACAGAAAAATAGAGGAAAAAAAAAATCCCTTGAAGACTCATCGTGTCTTCTCAGAAGCACTGATTCTCAAGTTACTGAGTGGTGGTGGCTAGTAGTAACTAGAGAACAAAACCCCCCTAATACACAAGATGGTCACAGGTGGACTGTAAAGCAGAGACAGAAAACTCAGTTGAAGAAAATCAAAAGCTCTCAAAGCTTTTGAATCAGCAGGTTATAAAGAATAACTCAAACAAATTGGGTCCAGCTGACCTGCAGATTAGCAACATAACGGAAGAAGTGGCATATATTCTTCTAGAGATAAATACTATCTAGGTTAGTCTTATCTTTTAATGCATAAAGTCCAGCATTAAAACATAAATTATGGTACACAAAAAGAAGTAAGAAAATATGTCTCATCATCAAAAGAAAACACACTCGATATAGGCAAACCCACAGTTAGTAGACAAACACTAAATAATTGACATAAATATTAGAAGTTCTAGTATGAATGGTAGATGCATATATAAAAATATGGTGAATTTCAGTAGAAACATGTAAGCTACAAATAAGAACAAAATGGAAAAGTAGCAGAAAAAAAGGAATACTGTTTTTGAATTCTGTAAAAAATATAATCAGAAATGACAACATAAGCTTGTACCACCTGCTTTCTCTTATCTTAGCATCATTAATAGAACAACTGAAAAGGTGAACCTGATTCACAGTAAGGGGTGTAGAGTACCAGTATATATCAGTATGTGTGCACTGGGGATCAGTGCTGGAAGAACTGCAATTTTATAAGAAAGTTTCCAAGCAGCACTTGGGTAGAGATTCAAAGGAAGTCAATGAACTCTGAGGAAGACTAACTGTGGTAGGTAAGCCATCAACACAAAGGCTCTGCAGTGAGATCTTTGGGAAATTTGTAGAAAGTTAATATAGACAGTGTGGTGGCAATATAGGTTGCCTATGGAAAAAGTTGAAGATAAGAGCGGAAAGAGAAAATTCTTGTAGTGATAATTGTTAAAAATCCTCTTTATTAAAAAGCAAAGTTAGCAATTATATAATGTTAACATCTGAAGCCTTTCTCATG